AACGGTTTACCACTTTTTGCTTGAAAATTCTTGTTACAAATTTCTGACAATCATTTTGGAGGATCTGTTGCTTTATAACGATATTTAAGCAAGCCACAACCTGCTGCTAAAAGCGCTGAGCAATTTGTCGTTCCGCTTCTGTCAACGCTTTCGTTCATAATTTTTACACGATTTCTGAAATTTTCCTCGAATTGCAGATGAAAGTTTGGTATTGTATGTACAATTGCTTTTGCGTTTAATTTTTTCTTACGTTAAAATGAAAGTCACAAAACATTTATTTTTGTTAAATTGCTTTTCCAAATTTTTTGTAGAAAATTCTTGTTTACATTTTTTCTGACTTTTTTTAGAAGGGTCTGTTGCTTTATAAAAGAAATGTAAGCCACAACTTCCAATACACTTACATTTATTTTTTCACATTTATTGTCTGAAAACGATTGTTTATATATTCTATAACGATTAGTCAGGTATACCTGCTATTAAAAAATTGAACAATTTGTCGCTTCGCTTCTGTCAATATTTTTCGGTCATACTATTTTAGACGATATCTGAAGTTTTCCTCGAATTGCAGATAAAATACTGGTATTGTATGTTTAAATGCTGATGCCTTTTATTTGTTGGAAACGTTAAATCACAACTCACAAAACAATTAGTTATGTTAAAATGTGTTTCCAAATATTTGCTTGAAAATTCTTGTTTATATATTTTCTTTTCTGACTATCTTTTTTGAAGGATATGTTCCTTTATAACAGAATTGTAAGCCACCACTTCCAGTGTACCTATATTTGCTCACATATTGTTTGCATTTTTTGTCTGAAAATGCAGGTTATATATTTTATAACGATTAGACATGCTCCTAAAAGCGCTGAAGAATTTTTCATCCCGCTTCTGTCATTTATTTTTGTTTCCAAATATTTGCTTGAAAATTCTTGTTTATATATTTTCTTTTCTGACTATCTTTCTTGAAGGATATGTTCCTTTATAACAGAATTGTAAGCCACTACTTCCAGTGTACCTATATTTGCTCACATATTGTTTGCATTTTTTGTCTGAAATGCAGGTTATATATTTTATAACGATTAGACATGCTCCTAAAAGCGCTGAAGAATTTTTCATCCCGCTTCTGTCATTTATTTTTGTTCATTTTTTTTACACGATTACCTTAGCATTATTGAGTTGCAGATTAAAAAGTGGTATCGTATGTTTAATTTCTTTTGCTTTTCATTACGTTTTTTTACGTTTAAATAAAACTCACAATCCGCTTAATTTTGCTCAAATGGAGTTACAAATTTTTTGTCCGAAAATTCTTGTTTTCCATTTTTTTTTACGTATATTTCGGGGGACCTGTTGTTTAAAAAAAATCTTTATGCTACAACTTTAAATGCAGCTTTATTTGCCCAAAAAGTTTTGCCCATATAGTATTTAAAATTGCATGTTTACATTTTATTTTGGCGGTGAGTCGGAAACACCTGTTGTTAAAAGCGCTGAACAATTTGTAGTTCCGCTTCTGTTAATTATTTTTGTTCATATTTGTAAAACGAATTCTTTCTTGGAATGCAAATATAATACTGGCATTTTATTTGTTTTAAAATGTTGAAATACAACTCACAAAACAGTACATTTACAAATTTTTACCTGATAATTCTTCATTACATGTCTTCTGACGATCTTTTTTTAGGATCTGTGGCTTCGTAACCGAAATGTTAACCATAATATGCAGTGCATTTATATTTTCTAACATATTTTACGCATTTATGATCTGAAAATGCAGGTATACGTATTTTATTACGATAATTCGGAAATAAATGCTGCTAAAAGCGCTGAACACTTTGTCGTTTCGCTTCTGTCAATTATTAGGGTCATATTTTTTACACGATTTCTGAAGCTATAATCGAGTTGCTGTTCAGAAACTGGTATAGTATGTTTAATTGCTTTTGCGTTTTATTTGTTTTTACGGTTATATACACCTCACATAAAGTAACTTTTGTTTGTAGGAATAAAAAGTTCTTGGTTACACATTTCTGACAGTAAGTTTGGAGGAGATGTTGCTTTTCCATGCCATGTAAGGCACATCATCCAATGCCGCTAAATTTTCTCAATTATGGTGCCATTTTATTGTCTGAAAAAGCAGTTGTGCATATTTTCTGGTGTTCAGTCGGAATCACATCTTGATATAAGCGCTGAACAATTTGTCGTTCAGTTACTGTCAATTATTTTTCGGTCATTATTTTAACACGATCTCTTAAGTTTTTATCGAGTTGCAGATCAAAAACTGGTATAGTATTTTGGAATGCTTTGGTGTTTTATTTGGTTTTTTTTATTTGCCTTTAAATAAAACTTACAGGACACTTTATTTTGCTAAAATGAATTTACCAATTTTTGTCTCCTACTTCTTGTTAACACATTTTTTTACGTTCAATTCGGGAGACCTGTTGTTTAAAAAAATCTGTTATTAAAGGAAACTTTCAAAAATCGGAACCGAAAATAATTGACAGAAGCGGAACGAAAAATTGTTCAGCGCTAATAGCAACAAGTATTTCCGACTAATCCCGAAAAAAATATGCAAACCTGCATTTTCAGACAATAAATGCAAAAAATATGTCAGCAAATAAGGCTGCATTAGAAGTTATTTCTTATAGTTCATTTCTAAACAACAGGTCCAACAGATTGACCGTTAGAAAATCTGTACACAAGACTTTTCTGACAAAGACGTGTAAATCCATTTTAGCAAAATAAACTGTATTTTAAGTTTTATTTTTAAGCAAAAAAAAACAAATAAAACGCAAAAGCAAATTAAGCAACCTATAACAGTTGTTTTTCTATTATTCCATGAAGACTTAAGAAATAGTGTAAACAAATATGACAGTAAAATAATTGACAGAAACGGAAAGACGAATTGTTCGGCGCTTTTTTCACCGGGTATTTCCGACTATCCACTAGAAAAAATGCAAGCTGCATGTTCAGACAAAACAATAGCAAAACATTTTAGCTGCATTGGAAGTTGCGGCTTACATTTTTGTTGAAAAGCAACGGATCCTTCAAAATGACCGTCAGAAAATTTATAAACAAGTAGTTTTAAGCAAAAAATTTGTAATGCATTTTAGTTAAACTAACTGTTGTGATTTGTATTTAAACGTATATAACCAAAAAATATTACACATATTCCACCAATTTTTGTAAGTGCTTTTCGGAGAATACTTCAGAAGGCGTATAAAAATAATGACTGAAACGGAACGACGCTATGTTCAGCGCTTTTATCAACAGGCATATTCGACTTAGTGCCAGAAAACATCCCAACCAACCTGCATTTTAGACAATAAATGAGAATATTATCCTAGCAAATTTAGCTGCATTCTAAGTTGTAGCTTACATATTTTTTTTAACATCAGGCCCCCAAATTGAACGGAAAAAATATGTTTACAAAATTTTAAGACAGAACTTTGTAAATCCTTTCTAGTTAATTTTAGTGTATTGTGATTTATTTAAAAAAAAAAACAACACAAAAGCAATTAAAAATACGATACCAGTTTTTGATCATCTGCACTCGAGTAAAACTGAAAATGTGTAAAACAAATCTGACCGAAAATAGTTGACAGAAACGGAACGCCATCTTGATCAGCGCTTTTACAACAGGTATTACGGACTCACCGCCAGAAAATAATTAAAACTGCATTTTCAGACAATGCATGTCAAGATTATTGAACAAATATAGCTGCATTAGAAGCTGTGGCTTACATTTTGTTTAAAAACCAACAGATCCTCCAAATTAACAGTCAGAAAATCTGTAAACAACAACTTTTAAGCAAAATATTTTGTAAATGTATTTAAGAAAAACTAACTGTTTTGTGAGTTTTATTTTAACTTATAAAACAATTAAAACACAAATGCAATTACATATACTGTAATATTTTGTATCTGCAATTCGATTAAAACATCAGAAATCGTGTAAAAACATGACCGAAAATACAACTCATTAGACACTTAATCTTGCTAGTACATTGTTAAGCCATTTGAACAGCAAAAAATAACGGCATTGTGCATAATTCTTTTAATTGTTGATCCTAAATTTTTGAATTGCATTATAATTTACATCAGGTCTTCAACGCTTGTGTTTGACTCGAGCATCAGTGAAGAGACATTGATTGTCGAAATGCGTATCTGGTGCAGTAAAATTAGTAATTGTTAATGTTATTACTACCCCTGAATCAATACTTCTCCTGGTGGACTGTTGGTCTCTTGTGATATCACCAGCCAAGTACAAAGTGTTTCGGTACTTCAAGCAAGTACATATATCTACTGAATTGGATGTTATCAAATTTCGAAATCATTTAAAATCAAGGAACTATCTCTCTCATGGATTGCTCTCTTTGATTCCTTGTCTAGGTTTGGCTTTCCTTTCGGTCGTTATTGGTTTTATCAGATCTTTGACGTTTTTGTTGTACATTGGAATTTTATATAATTTGGCCTCGTGCATCACTGACGAGACATTGAAAGTCGAAATGTGCATCTGTTGCAGTGAAATATGTACCGTTTATGTGATATATTTTCTGTACCGGTTTGTTACATTTGAATCAACAACAAATAGGTCGGGCATCACTCGTTTTGTTAACTTTTACGTTACACTGACTGTATTACTGTGTTTCCTCTATGCCATTGTACAGGTATATTTGTTTATAGTAGTCTTAAATTTTATCTTTTATGTGATGTCTTTGTATAGCATACTTTTAACCACAATCCCCTTCACTTTTCCTCGATTTTGGCATCACCAAACAGTATCACGACAAGTGCCACTAGCAGAACAGGATCTGCTTATCCTCCAGGTGCTACTGAGAATCACACCAATTTTTGTTGGTTTTTCTTGGCTAAGACTTTTCTTTTGATGAAGTGTTTTATGAACTTGTTTGCTTTTTTGTCGTTTTTTTGCAATGATATTTTCATCTTCTCTCTCTCGATATCGAGTTTTGAATTTTGTTTTTTGAACAAGTATATTTGGGAACACTTACCTTAACTTTTATTTATCTTTTTTCTGTTGAAGAAATAAAGAATTTCTTTTTTCTTTGATAAATACAACAGTAATCTGAAAAGAATACGTATGGTTAGGAATGTTTTTTCGTTTTATGTATCAAGCTTTTCAATATTTTTATCCGTTGCACAAAATGCAGTGACTTTTATTTTCTTAAACCATTTTACAATTCACCGTTTCAAAATACAAAGGACTATGGATAATTTCATTGTTGTTACCCCAAAATTGAAATAACGTCATTCAATTAATTCACCTTCCGTTGTTTATGACGTTAACAACATATTGCAATGTTTTGGTGTACGACATGAAGTACCAAGAAGGCATTAGATTCTGAAACGGGGACTTGATTGCCTATTATATTCTCCCTCACTACGTCCGTCTAAATATAAAATAATTATATTATATGTCCTAGACAAAAAAGATCCAATGTAAGACCGTGTTCACACCAAAACATCGCGTACTGTAAACCTGTTTATAATTAGTTTCATGTAATGAGCATTGGTTTCACATAAAATTTGTTCTCATCTGTACGTTGGTGTTGATTACCTGTACATGATAATTGTTAACACAAGTAAAAAGAAAAATAACAAAAATACTGAATTCCGAGGATAATTCTAAACGGAAAGTCCCTAAGCAAATGGCAAATTAAAAAGCTCAAACACATTAAACGAATGGATAACAACTGTTATATTCCTGACGTGGTACAGGCATTTTCTTATGTAGAAAATGGTGAATTAAACCTGGTCTTATAGCTAGCTAAATCTCTCACTTGTATGACAGTCGCAAAAAATAATATAGATACATATATAAGATACATTGTTGGAACTCCAATATTTTGAGGGGAAACTGGAGTGGATTGTGAAAAATTGTTTGATTCCATTGAAAATGAAGGGCGAGGGGATTCATAATGGAGTTAAAAAAAAATTCCTATATATGTTATTAAAAAAAACGTTTTTTTTTTAAAGTCATAAAAAAACTGTTTGTCCTACGAAAATAAATGGTCGGTACCTTTAGGGAATCCTAAGAGACCATATTTCTAGTCACCAGTCACCATAGGTAATTTTAGAAATGAACATTCTTGACTGCGCAAGTCCAGAATATTTATTCAAAAATCTGTTTTGAATAGTTTGTGCTATTTTAGGCAGGACATTGCAAGAAATAGTTGTGTTCCAAGCTTGAAAATTATTGTTCGCACTAAATAAATAAGCTCTGTAAAACAGGTGTAAAATAAATATTCCATCAGCAAAAAATCCCCCTCTGACTGAAAATCAAATGGTCAACAAAAACTATTTAAAGTTAATCATGCAAGCATTAATTATTGAGATTTTTTTTTTTTTTTTTTGACATAAAGATAATTATTTTTATTCAATATATGTAACTTCTTTGAATATTCAGTGATAAAATCCACGCTCTTAATATCCTGTTTTATCAACGATTTACTCCCACAAGGTCTACATTGACTATCGACTGCATGTAGTCAAAACCTGATTTAAACTACATGTAAACATTTATTTTCAAAAATAACAACGTAATAAAGATTAGTTTAAGTTTTGAGTATACTTACGCCACACGGACTTTTCCTCAAAGGAAACACGGCCTACGTGTACTACTCACAATAACCTTCAATACTACATTTTATACATATCAAATACATTACAGTATTATATCTAGTAATAATAACGCGAATTATTAATACAAGAACTCATTGATTTACACGTGTGTGAATAAACGTTTCTCTTCTTGATGCTATAACGAAAATTGATTGTAAGATTTAACTGCACTGGATTAAGTACATACAAATGGTCACATATCAATATTAATTAACGAAAAACGAACGAAATTTCACTACCTTAATGTGAACATTTTTTTTCAAAACGATCAATTGGAAATACGTTTTCATAAAAACGTGTAACCGATTTGCTTCAGATCTGGTCATGGTATTCTACGATTTCAAAAACTTTCCTCCATTTAAGATAAACATAAACTAGTTTATAATCCACCATTGTGTTTTCCTTTTTGTTTTTTGCTATGTCACGTAAAAAATGCATTTTTGTTGCTTTTTTAAGTATTATTAATTTAATTCTCTAAAAGCAGGCTAGTCATATTTATCTTATTTGTTTTTCGTAAATTGTTTTGTTATAAATAAGGCCGTTATTTTTCTCAATTGAATTGTTTTATATTTTTCATGGCAGTGCCTGACTGTACGGCATGGGTGATTCTAATTGTTGAATTCCGTACAATGGCCAATAATTGCTTACATCCGCTTCCTTTTAACTTTTGTGGGTAGTTGTCTCATTGGCAATCATACCACTTCTCCTCAATTTTATAGTTTATTTGGTGCTACCTTTCATTTCACTTTAATTTGCTGTTTCTAAAAGCAAGTACAGTTGAAAAAACCACAAGAACTGAAATTGTCTTCTGTTTCTTATCTCATAAATATATATGAATGAAGATGGCAGAGGAAAATAACGTATTTAAAACAAATTTCTAAAGTCATTTTTCCCCTATTTTCATCTATACATTTTCATAATATACAATGAACAATGCAGCTATATTTGATAAAACTACTGTCACACTGTACTGTTTGAAACTGTTTGCATATTTCTAGGAGGTAATTGAAAATATATATGATTTTGTACCGCAATGGTCGTTCTAAACCCATGTATCACGTTGAAGTACGATAGAATGACGCTGAAATTCGGAATTAATCACGCTGAAATGAAATGGTGTCATTGTGATGCCATCTTTTTTATATCTACACCAAAATCCGTTGGTGTTCAAGCTGAAGTGTGATGTATTACGTTTATTATATTTTTAATGTTTTTCATGTTCCTATGTCGATGTAGAAGTCAATTGTTGTTAAAAGCAGCTTTTCATGCGTTTAAGTAAATCGTCGAGATTATGCAGAGGAATTAACTAGGACGTATCATTTACCACGAAACTATAACTCAGGACATACATAATATCAAGTATATTCTTGTTTCTCAAATGTTAAAGAAAAACCAAATGTTCAAAAGATGTACATTATAAAATAAATGAAACTATTGTATTAGCAGTATACTTACAGTAGACAAAGGCATTGTAAACAATGAACTTCTAAGAGAGTTGTAATCCAAAGTTCCAAAATACAGAATTCCTTTGCCCATCAATTAAAAGAAGAATTTCAGGTAATGAATGGATGAAGTTGTGGACTATGCAAGAAAACTCGTAAAGTGCGAGTCAGATGGTCAAAAACTGGACACTTTATCTAAAGGGATTAAAGCTGATCGGTGATGCATTCAGAAGCACATTGAAAATCTACGATGTACAATGAACACGCGGGTTTTTAACACTTTTAAGACGCCAGAGGATGTGGATGCCTCATCTACGCGACAAATAATATGTTGTTCCACCAAAAAAAGTCTGAAATATTACCATTTTCATATGATTCACTAAAGAATTGGAATTCACAGCAAAACTTCGAATCTCACATATATCCATCACATATACATCATTCATAAAAGATGGGATTTAGAAATCACAAATCCGTTCTTCTCTCCTTTGGTAATAACACAACAAAGGATGATAACCATTTTTTAGATCAGATTCCTAAACTTCACACAAACCTATAAAGAAAGATTAAAAGCGATTCGATTAAAACTTCAGAAATCGTGTTAAAAGATATGATAAAAAAAATACAACTCTTAAGACACTTTATCTTGCTTATACATTGTAAAGCAATTTGAATAGCAAAAAATAACGGCATTGTGAATAAGTCTCTACAATGGTGATCCTAAATTTTTGAATTGCTATATGATTTACATCAGCTCTTTGACGATTGTGATTGACTCGAGCATCAATGAAGAGACATTGATTGTCGAAATGCGCATCTGGTGTAGTAAAATTGGTATTCACAATGTTATTACTACAACTGGAAATACCTCTACTGGTGGACTATTGGTCTCTTGTGATATCTTCAGCCAAGTGCACAGTGATTCGGTTCTACGTGAAAGTACGGATATTGTTATATCTACTGAATTTGTTGTAATATTTACTGAACCTGTTGTTATATCTACTGAATTTGTTGCTATATCTACTGAATTTGATGGTATTAAATTTCGAAATCATTAAAATCAAGGAAATATCTCTCTTATGCATAGCACTACTTTATTTCTTTTTCGGGTTTGATTTTCCTTTCGGTCGTTATTGGTTTTATTAGCTCTTTGACGTTTGTGTTATACATTGGACTTTTTATATAGTTTAGCCTCGTGCATCACTGGCGAGACATTGAAAATCGTATTGTGGATCTGGTGCAGGTAAATGTGTACCGTTAATGTGATTATACATTATTTTCTGTACAAGTTTGTTACATTTGAATCATTAGCAAATAGGTCGGGCATCACTCGTTTTGTTAACTTTTACGTTACACTGACTGTACTACTGTGGTTCCGCGATGCCGTTGTACAGGTAAGTATGTTTGATGCAGCCTAAAATTTTATCTTTATTGTAGAGTCTTTGCTAGCATACTTTTAACCACAATCCCCTTCTCTTTTCCTCGATTATGACATCACCAAACAGTATCACGACAAATGCCACTAGTAGAACAGGTTCTGCTTATCCTTTGGGGCTACTTCGATCACACCAGTTTTTATTTGTTTCTCTTGACTAAGACGTCATTTTTTGTGAAGTGTTTCATGAACTTGTTTGTCTGTTTGTCATCATAAGTTTTTGTACAATGATGTTTCCATCTTCTCTCTCGATATCTAGTTTTGAATGTCCCCTTTTTATATGCCGCATTTTGTGTTAGCAAGTATATTTGAGAACACTTACCTCAACTTTCATCTTTTTTCTCTTGAATATATAAAGATTTTTTAATAAATACAACAGTAATCTGAATAAAATTACATATGGTTAGGAATGTTTTTTTTCGGTATGTATTTTAAGCTTTTCGACATTTTTATTCGTTGTAAAAAATGCAGGGACATTTCATTTTCTTGGACCATTTTACAATTCGCCGTTTCAGAATTCTAAGGGTTATGCATGATTTAATTGTTGTTACCCCAAAATTGAAATAACTTCATTCAATTAATTCAAGTTCCGTTGTTTGTGATGTTAACAACCTATTGCAATGTTTTAGTGTACGACATGTATTACTTAGAAGGCACCATATTCTGAAGCTGTGTTTTGATTGTCTGTCATATTCTCCGTCACAACGTCCATCCAAATATAAAATAATTATATCATATGACCTAAACAAAAAGATCCAATTGAAGTTTACTCCTCAGAATAACCTTATATACTACAGTTAATACACATCAAATACAACACAGTATAACACTAATTGTCAATGAAATTACTAATTGAATTATGTGTGTATAAACGTGTCTCTTCTTGACACTATAGCGAAAGTTGATGGTCAGATATAACTGCACGGGATTAAATACATACGGATGGTCACATGTTATGAATATTAATTAACGAAAAACGAACGAAATTTTACTACCTTAATGTGAACATTTTTTCAAAACGATGAATTGGAAATACGTTTTCATAAAAGCGTGTAACCGATTTGCTTCAGACTTGGTCATGATTTCAAAAACTTTCCTCCATTTAAGATAAATATAAAATAGTTTATAATGTAACATTGTGTTTGCCTGTTGTTTTTGTTTTTGCTATTTCACGTAAAAAATGCATTTTTGTTGCATTTTTACGTATAATTAATTCTCTAAATGCAGGCTAGTCCTATTTGTCTTATTTGTTTTTCGTAAATTGTTTTGATATGAACAAGGCCGTTACTTTTCTTAATTAAATAGTTTTATATTTATTCTTTGTTAAAGGCCGTACGATGGCCGATAATAGCCTACATCCACTGCATTTCAATTTTGGTGGATAGTTGTCTCATTGACAATCATACCACTTCTCCTTATTTTCATAGTTTATTTGGTGCTACCTTTCATTTCATCTTAATTTGCCATTTCTAAAAATAAAGGTAGTACATTTGAAAAGACTCAACAGAACTGAAATTGTCTGCTGTTTCTAATCTCATAAATATAAATGAATGAAAATGGCTTAAGAAAATACCATAATTAATAAAAATTTCTAAAGTTATGTTTCCCCTATTTTCGTTTATACACTGTCATAATTTACAATTCACAATGCAGCCATATTTGCTAAACTGCTGTCACAATGTATTGTTTTTACCTGTCTGCATATTTTTAAATGGTAATTGAAAATATATATGACTCTGGACTGCAATGGTCGTTTTGACCGCGACTATCACGCTGAATTATGATGGTTTGACACTGAAGTTCGGTTTTAATAACGCTGAAATAAAATGGTGGCATTGTGATACCATCTTTTTAATAGCTACACCAAAATCTGTTGGTGTTAACGCTGAAATGCGGTGTATTACATTAATTATATTTTCAATGTTTTTCAAGTTCCTATGTCGATGTGGAAGTCAATTGTTGTTAGAAGCAGCTTTTCGTGTCTTTAAGTGAATCGTCGAGAGTATGCAGAGGAATTAGATATCATTTACCATGAAACTATAACTAAGGAAGACATAATATCAAATATATTCTTGTTTCTCAAATGTTTCTATCATTTTAAAGAGATGTACATTATACGATGAATGCAACTATTGTATTAGCAGTATACTTACAGGAGAAAAAGGCTTTGTAAACAATGAACATCTAAATGAGTTGTTATCCAAAGGTACAAAATATAGAATTCCCTGGCCCATCAACAAAAAACGAAGAATTTCAGGTTACGAATGGACGCAGTTTTGGACTTTGCGAGAAAATGACGAAAAGTGCGAGTGAGATGATCCCAAACTAGACACTTTATCTAAATGGATCAAGGCTGCTCGATGATGCATTTAGAAGCACATTAAAAATCTATGACGTACAATGAGCACTTGGATTTTTAACACTTTTAAGATGCCAGAGGATGTTGATGCTACATCTTCATCTTCACAACAAATACGTTGTTGTTCCAGCAAAACAAATCTGAAACGTTATTGTTATCATTTGTTTCACTAAATATTTAGAATTCACAGCAAAACTTTGAATCTCACATATATCAATCACATATACATCATTCACTAAAGATGGGATTTTAAAAATCACAAATCCGCTCTTTTCTCATTTGGTAATAACATAACGAATGATGATGAAAATCTCCCGTTTTTATATTAGATTCCTACACTTCACACAAACATATAAAGACCGATTTATAGCGATGAGGTATATTCAAACAGCGGTGTCAAATCAGAAATGGATTCGTGAAATATCAAAGGCCTACTACAAAATCTGACATCATAATCTTTACATTTTGTGGTAATAGCAAAACTATTGATTTTTCTACGCTTTACAATACTATTCTCAAAGCATAATCGAAAGTTCGAATACATTCTCTCATTTAACAGAGCGAGCATCAACTACAAAAAAAGGATATCATCGATACACATTTGTTGTTTTATGTCACGAAAAAAAAATTGCATTGTAAAGAATTGTACTGATTCAAATATCAAATGCATCAAAGATGGTATCATCAAAATGCTGGACTTTTTGATCGACAACTTAATTCTTGTGTTAGTCGGTGTTCCTGTGCGTACTTATTGCGCACCTCTGCTGCCGGATTCGTTTTTTGTTATGATATGGAGAAGTTCATACAAAACTTCCCCAAAGAAAATAAAAAAGCATCTTGCAAAAGAGATGCAAAAGATACCAAAGGGACATTCAAACTCATTGGTCGAAAACTAACAACACCATGGCAAAAAACGAAAACGACCAAAAGACATACAGTATAAAAACACAACATAGAAAACTAAAGACTGAGAAACTAGAACCCCACCAAAAATCTTGTCTGAACGTAGGTGCTCCGGAAGGGTTAATTGTCTATGTCATTTAATCTTTTACTATGCAAGTTTCATGCTTTACAAATTGTCAAAATTTGATTTTGTAAGATATCTTTTTTATCCAGCTTTTCAGAAATTGTATTCAATACTCACTTATGGATAAACATGAAACTTGACATAGTAAAAGATGAAATGACATAGACTAATTTCAGATATTGTGCAACGAAACATAAATCCAACATAGCCGCCAAATTAAAGATGGCCGTCACAAAGTACTGTCATTACAACACCATACACTTGATGAAGTCTATCAATATGCAAGAGTTCAAATACGGTATCAAAATGAAAGCCCAGGGTTTTAGCTTTCTAAATGTTATTAGGTTTTTCAGATCCGTTGTTCACAATTCTTCTCACTATTGAAGTATATAACCCCATGGAAAATTGACAAAAAAGCTAGAAAAAAAAACACAATTAGTTACAAACACCAAATATATAATATACAATTGCTTGTTTGGTGTATTACAATAATTGATGAGGAAGTGGAAATATTTGGTGGTATATTTTAGGTTTGAAGCACAATTTGTGTTCAGAATACGAGGCAACTGGGAAATAATTTTTTTGATTTCCTGCCTCTGATGACCAATCTGCTGTTGCTTAAACAGTTCGGATGATCTCAATAAAGAGAATAATGTTTAATCTTTAATATAGACACCAGACATTGTAAGTGGATGAATACTACAAATATTGAAAATACTACCCTCCAAAAAAGGTTCAACTTGACACTGTGAATATTCACTAATAAAAAATTCAACCAATGAATGATTTGGCAATCATTTGTAATAACTTTGTACAACAGGTATATTTGAAAACCATTCGGTTTCATTGAGATCATTTTTGTAGCCCAAATTTGGGGAAAAGGGACAATTTTTAATTTATAGACTTTTCAGATTTTCTTAAAATCTGTTATGTTTTCCTTTTTGAATAACAATATATATCTCATATCCATAACTACTGTGGATTCATTATTATTCGTTGGATACCAATTTTCGTGGTTTTCGTGGGTACAGGTGAACCACGAATTCAAATGTTCAACGAATAACTAAATTTCTATGGGATTTGTGTGCAGAGATAGACAAAACCACGAATTCAAATATCCACGAAAATGCAAGTTTTCCTCAATCCACGAAAATTGGTACCCACGAAAATAAATGAATCCACAGTATTGGCTTTACCCGGTGGAAGAATAGAGCGTATTTATTATAATAACACAAGCGATCTATTATCTGATCATATGAAATTTATGAAAATGGAAAATATGCCTACGCATGCAAAAATAAAGCAAACAAGAATAAAAGTCATCGAATAACTGCTAAATAAACAAAAAGAATCAATACTTAGGTTCAAAAGTATTGTAGTTATATCAAGTTCTTATATTTTAAGCGATCCATTTCGTTTAAAATTATTTTTGTATACAGAGAAATTAAAAAAACGGATAATTTTTTTTGAATACAAAAATGTAACAAAAATACAATGTATTTGACGTCTTTTATAGCATAGTGATCAATTAATTTCTCTTACCAACTTTAAATCAAAAAGCAAACAAATCACCCCATACCAAATTTGAGCAAAAATATGAAAATGTGACTAATCATCATTTATGTTAAATACCTTTATTTTAAGCAATACAGATTTTTTAACGCCATTTTTGTTCTCAGAGGGTTAAGAAAATGGACCTTTTTTTATCTTAATAGGACGTTAATACTTGTGTTAATATTAAATGTGATGCTCACAATGAATGAAATAATGTATTTGCTTTTACATCTTTTCGGAATTTTTATTAATTTTGATTAATAAAATCTCTGATTAATTGAATATAATAATCCACCAAAACCAATACATGTATGTTTAAATCAACGAACATGAAAGGGATGTATTTGTTTTAATTTTCCTATGATTTTCGATGCATAGAACTCCAAAACACAACTGCTTCGTTGTAAACATCAAATTATATGTTAAAAATGTATCTACAATTTATGACTCAAATCAGCAAAGACCCATCGAAACAACATCTGATACAAAAATTTAATAACACTTTTAGATATTTGGATGATATTTTGGCTCTCAATAGTGACGACTTCAGTATGTCTTTAACGGTAAGCTTAATACCAAAATTTACGATAAAAGAGATGATTTTTCATTTCCTATTGTTATTTATTTATTTTAGATGGTGACTTCCCTTGTCTCAACTTGTTCGATTCGCTCGTGTATGTAAGAACGTATTTGATTTTAACGAAAGAAATCTGTGTATTACTGAAAAATTATTACACCAGGCTTTCCGATATCACAAACTAGTCAAACATTGACTAAATTTCATTATCATTCGTAAACATAGATCAACATGCAGACATCTTATACGTTCAGGTATTTCACATCTAATCTTTTATGGTAATATTCTATACAAAGCACAAAAATGTCGTCATTCACATCAAAAGCTAACCAAACCTTTTAACAGACTTATTCAGAAGGGATATAGTTACGATACTGTTGTCAGGTCATTAAAGGTGGCATATTTTGGAATTAATATTGATTCACTCATAGGGTCTTTGCATCGGAAATCAACACATTTATTCTGAAACCAGTTGTTGGCATGATACGGGTTATGTTCTTCTCATCTATTTTATGATGGTATGATACTAAACCCTAACGGGGGGAATTGTGCTTGATTTTCATATGATGAAGAATTAATCTGTCAATCATTTTAATTAAGGTTTGGTGCTGGCATGTCAGTAACTGCTAGTAGTCTATGTTAATTTATGTATCATTGTCATGTTGCTTAGTTTCTTCTGTTACCTACTCAGACATCGAACTCGTACTTCTTAAAGTTTTACTGTTCGTATTGCCGTGTGTTTGTTTATTCTACAATGGCTAGAGGTATAGGGGGAAGGTTGAGATCTCACAAAACATGTTTAACCCCGCCGCATTTTTGCGCCTGTCCCAATTCAGGACTCTCTGGCCTTTGTTAGTCTTGTATGTTTTCTTTAATTTTATTTCATTTATATGTTTCGGAGTTTAGTGTGACGTTCATTTTCATGGAACTAGTACACATTTTTGTTAGGGTCCAGCTGAAGCCTGCTTCCGGGTGCGGGATTTTTTCGCTGTGTTGAAGACCGCCTTGGGCTGTTTTTTGCTCTTTGGTCGGGTTGTTGTCTCTTTGACACATTCCCCATTTCCATTCTCAATTTTATCTAATTACCAGAAAAGGTAAAAAGGTAAACATTTGGGATAATATTAACATGTTGAAAAACTTATTTTGTTTTTCTTAAATTCTGCCGTTACAGAAATAGCTTTGAACAATCTGCGAAGCTTTGAATATAAGTATTTGATAAAAAAAAACCAACAACAAATAATGATTTTTTAACAAAATTAATACTTAGTTTGATGATTTCAAGCCATTCTCAGTCAAATATATACATCTTTGCTCAAATTTGCATTGGGTATGGGCAATGCTTCCCTTTTTGATAAAATTGTGTTCGACATCAAATTGATCTTCTAGGCTCATAAGACGCCAAATACATTTTTTCACTGAAGAAATGAATTAGTTTTGGCGTTTTTAATATAATAAACATTTTGAGGTAGATGGATAAAAATGGACATAAAAAAACGGAAAGTATGAAAATTTGAGGTTGTCTGGGTTTTTTTTTCCATATTTGTGGCTACGAAAATAGCTTGGAACAATCTACAGTTATAATAATGTCTGTATTTGATATGAATACAAGTAATTTGAAAGAAATCATTGTCTTGATATGTGATGTTGTAACCCGGATTTGTTTTTTCTCAATCGATTTATGAATTTCGAACAGCGGTATACTACTGTTGCCTTTATTTATGTTGACCATTCATTTGTAAAATGTGTTTGTTTTTAAGTCAGATTTCCTAGGAGTAGAAGTAATATTTTCCATTTCCATAATATTTTATAAAAGAAAATGATTGATCTCTGGGGTTCATTAGATGTCAAATACTTTGTTGCATGGAAGAAAGCCTAAATTGTTCAGTAAAGATATATATTTTTTATTTCAAAAAGACAAAAATCACAAAACACGTCTGGAAAATCTCTTAATCCGATATTGTCTTCTTTTTCAAAACTGGAGCTACAGACATGGCATAAGACAAAATCAGAAGGTTGAAAAAACCAAATTATTGTTGATTTGAATGAAGGTGTTCATTAATTAAAATTGATTGTGTTTAGTTGAAACTTGTTTGAGTAGGGGTAATATTTTCAATATTTTAAGGTTTTACACTATCGAAATTAGCTAGTTCTGTTGTTCATCGATATTCTACAGAATTATTACCATCAAGTTTATGATTAAAACATATTTGGTTAAAACAAATGCAAAACATGATAAAATATTTGAATATCCGCAAATCTGAAAATTTGCCCTCATACTATTCAACTGACTACAAACATTGCTTCAAACAATCAAATAGCTGCTAAATATATCCAGTGTAACAATAACAATCAAAACAAATCAAATTTTCAATTACTGTTTATATCTTCTGTAATGGGAACAACGGTTACACGTTTGTTTTAACATTCTTCATGGGGTAGGTTGGTAATTTCAATTGTGAGAAGACTTGTAACCAACAAAGCTGAAATCCTAATAACATTTAGAAAACTAATACCCTGGGCTTTCATTTGAAACCATACTTGAATATAAATGAACTCTTGCATATTGTTAGACAATATCAAGTGTATTTTTTGCGTGGATTCGTAGCCAAAAACGTTTTTAGCATCATATATGTACAACCACTGGGTCGATGCCACTGCTGGTGATTGTTTCCTCCCTGAGTGCATCACTAGCCCAATGTGAGCACTTATATGTTGACATGAATTATCATTGATATGGTCCTAATTATAAATTAACTGTTTATTTATTTAATTTTAGAAAAAGAAAATAAAACCAATAGTATTCAATTAAACAAAACTTTTATTTTGATCGAATAATCCAAATTCAACTCTACTATCTATATTACAGGCATCTGTAGTTCAAATCTCTTGAATCGATTAAGGAGATACAAATCAAGGGTAACACAAAAACTAAGGAATTCCATTAACTTCAAAATGAGCTATACCGAATGCGTCGACAAAGTAGCTCCTCCTACCCATCTTGCTGTTCACTCCTGCTATTCAATGCATCATCAGGTATGCAATTATATACTTAAGCAAAATGCCCCAATCGGACAAATGACACAATCGGTAAACCGACTATACTAGTATCTAAATTTCTAAAGCAACTAAAACTTGACGACATTATCCTTTTACGACCGTCAATTGAAAACTAAGATCGCAGAAGTTAACTGATGTTCAAATAAAAAACGTTTTTTGTTCAGAGTTTGCAACACAATGCAGTTCTATTTGTTAAATTAGAGGCAACAGTATTAAGGTAAAAAAATGTAAGAGAATCGCACGAACTCAAAAAGAAGCGATACCAGTTATGCATGCATTAATCGCCATCCGAGTCCATACTTAGTCAAAATGGCGCGATAGAGAATATGACTCAATTGATAAATTTGTGTACGAGACAGATAGTCTTGTGGATAAATATCTACGTCTTCGAAAACTTTTCTCTCGAACTCTTTTACATTGTACTATCTGAAACATCATGTTTACACTTTTCATGACAGTTAATTACCTGAAGTTTTCACGTTTTCATACGTTCCTGTGTGTCAAAAGTTTTTGGTTTGAGCGGGATTGTTATGAAGCTTAACACAGGAGAGAGCTTCGGATTGACGAATTTATAAAGTTTTATTTTCAGATAAAAAAAAAAAAATGAAATGTATTTTATTTTGTTTGAGTTTGTTCTTTGTATTCTCTTTTTTTGTAATTACCTTAAACTTTCCTAAGAATTAAATCCATGTTTATCACATCAGTTATATTTTCTCTAGTAGTTTTGCTTTATCAGCAATAGTCTGAAGATTCAAGCTCATATGATTTCTGACCGTGAATTTGAAATAATTATTGTTCAGAGATCTGAATCATCTTTCATTCAAATTTTGACAATATTTTTGAGGATTTAAAGAACTTAACTCAATTTACGATAGCAAAAACTGGTATCGACTTTACTTTAAGTTTTATTAAGAGGTTTTTTTCACGTAAAAATCATAAAAGGTAAGCATATACTGGTTGTTTTAAATTAAAATATAAGGTGTTTTCTAAATACATGCTAGTATAGTTTATGCTTCCTAACATCTGATCTTAAATTTCTTAGTTTATTTTGAAGTACTCACTATAACCTTTGTTTGCCGACTCTTGTTCCCTGTTAAAAAATGAATTGATGTATATTACCAAAGAAAATACCATGTCTTAAACAAGTTTTTTATAATGTAAGAGATTTATTAAAACATTGGAATCCATTAATCACAAAGATATTCTGATCACTTCATTAGAGGTAAGAGTAGTTTATCTCAATTCAAATCTCATATATTCACCATGAGTATTCAAATATAGGTAAAACAAAAAGTAGAAATCGTATAAACTTCAAATATCTGAAATACCTGTTTATAAGAATATGGATACATTTTTCGGTTTTCGGTCAGATGTTCGTTATTTTCGATACTTTCCTATACCTTCCTTTAAGTCCAGACCAAAAACTGGTATGAAATTAATTTGCTTTTAGTGTGTTAATTGTATCGTTCCCGGTTAATTTTATGTGTTTGCCTTATGTTTTGCAGAAATTGCAATAAATGACTCGCAATGCTAATATCTTTCCTCCTTCTTTTACAATTTATTGTCTGGAATCTAAAGCTGACATTTTTTCTGACGATCAATTAGAAAAACCTGTTGGTAACAGGATTGAATAATTTTACGTTTCATCAATATTTTCGAAGATTTATGACACTTTCATTAAGATAAAAAGAAACAGGTATCGAGTTTAACATTGTTTTTTCGTTTCATTTGTTTTAGTTGATATTCTTTTTTAGAAAAAAGATTTTTTAAACGGTGCTTTCTGAATGCAGGCTAGTATAATTGATGCCTCCTAACATCTGATCTTAAATGGTTTTTTTAAATAAGATATACTGTACACTTGGTAAGACTCACCATTACTTTTATTTACCGCTTTGTTCTCTGTAAAATATAAATAAATTTAAATTGTCAAAGAAAATACCATATAAAGTAGTATACCGCTGTTCAAAAGTCATAAATCGATTAAGAGAAAACAAATCGGGACTGCAAACTAAAACCGAGGGAAACACATCAACTATAAGAGGAAAACAACGGATCAATAGAAACACTGAACTGCAACAAAAACAAACGCCAACAAACATAGAAACGGACTATTTGATAGCAACTGCCATATTCCTGACTTGGTACAGGACATTTTAAGAAAAAATGGTGGGTTGAACCTGGTTTTATGGCTAGCCATACATCAAACAAATGTTCAAATGGGTTTTTTCAATCAGCTTTTTTAAAATTGTAATAAACACCCAAAAATGTACTTTTATATGCACGATTGACTGTATAGCATAGTGTCTGAAACTTCAAGTTTACATTTTTTCTGGCGATTAATTGAAATAACTTGTTAGTAAAAGCGATGAACTATTTTACGTTCAGATTTCGTTAATATGTTTAACAATTTAAGGAGGTATGCTTCAATTTTTGATAACACAATGTGTGTACAATTTAGCATTACTTTTCATTTAGGTGTTTTTCACGTAGAGATCTTCATTTTACTTTTCAATTAATTTTTCTCAATTATTCACAATGCAGTTCCATTTGCTAAATTAGAGGTTACAGTAATTTACCGATATTCAAATCTAATACATATATGAAGGAGATACAGATCACAATAAAAAAACGCAATAACTAAGGGATTCCCTTGAACTAAAAAAGAGCGAAACTTGAGTCGACAAGGTAAGCACCTGCTGATATACATGCATTACCAGCAATGCGAATCTTTAATCAAAGAAATATGACACAGAATAGGTAAATTTTCCAAAAAGACAAATATTCTAGTATCTTAGTATCTAAGACCGCAAACACTTGTCGCTCAAATCTTTTTACATTTTTTTGTTGTTTGAAACTTCATGTTTACATAATTCCTGATCGTTAATTGGGCATTCAGGCAAATGCAGTCTACAGATATTCAAATACTTGGACATATCTGTTTATAGAAATGCCGAATTGTTTTTCTTTCAGAATTTGTTAATAGTTTTGACAATTCTCGGGACTTCCTTAAATTCCGGATAAAAAAAAACTGGTATGGAATTATTAATGCTTCAGTGTATCATTTGACTTTCTTAAAAGAGAGGCGAAAGATACCAGAGGGACATTCAAACTCATAAGTCGAAAATAAACTGACAATGCCATGGCTGAAAAAGAAAAAGACAAACAATAGTACACAAAACACAACATAGAAAACTAAAGACTGAGTAACACGAACCCCACCAAAAACTGAAGGTGGTCTCAGGTGCTCCGGAAGGGTAAGCATATTAACATTTGTTTATATTTCTCTTAAGCGTTGAAAAAAATCCAATTCATGACTCACAATGCAGTTATATATGTTCTTTTATTTTTGTAATTTATTTTTTCTGAAACTTCAAGCTGACCTAATTTCTGACGATCATTTTGAAATACCTGTTAGTAAACGTGCTGTACAATTTTTGCTTCAGATTTTGTCAAATCTTCGATTTAAGAAAAAGAAATATGTATCGAGTTTAACGTTGCTTTTGCGTTTAATTTGTTAGTTTTACGTAATAATTCTAAAAAGACAAACATAGACCTGTCGTTTCAAAATTAAAAAAAATACGGTGCTTTCAAAATACAGGCTAGTAAATATGATTCTTCCCTGCATCTGCTTTTAAATCGCTCTGTTTTGGTAAGATAGACTATATACTTGGAAGTTGGCACCTTTATACGCCAATCTGTTCTTATCGAATGCCGGTAAACTGTCAAAGAAACGGGCCTTGGTGGCCTAGTGGTCTAAATAGTTCAACTACTGTACCACTAGCCTTTCAAAACTGTGGTTGTGAGGCGGACCACGCACATGGCAGAAGGTGCGTTCAACTCCAATCTTAAATGACTAGGGTTGATTGTTTTTATTCCGAAGAATAGAATACATACCCAAAAATGACTTTATACTTTCTCTATTAATTTTTAATAAATTGTCTGAAAATTCCAGTTTACAAACTTATGGTCAATTGCAAAACTTATTTGTAAAATAGCTGAACTATTATTCGTTCAGATTTAGTAAAATAGTTTCGACAAAACACAACATAGAAAATCAAAGACTGTAATTAAATATTACTTTAGAGTTGAATGTTTTATACGTAAACATCTTCCGTTATTGCGTTTTGCATTAAAAACTATTTCATTTTCTCTTTATCTCAACGCAGCATTTGACTGTCATAAATCCATTAAAGCAAAAATGAGGAAATCGCATGAATTCTAAAGGAAGCAATACTGGTTGCGTGGTCGTGTGCATCAATCTGTCAATTGAAAATGCATGTTGGTAAAAGCGCTGAACCATTTTTCTTTCATATTTTGTCAATCTTTCGAAGATTTCTGACAATTTTCACAATAGAATCGCACGAACTTCAAAAGGATACCGTATGCGTCGACAGGGTAAGCCCCTCCTGCAATGTTTGCATCACTAGCTCTGTTAACCCATATGCAGGCATAATGTCATAATCGGTAAATTAACTGATGGGACGACTATTCTGGTAAATTGTATGTGATATTGCAAATAAATATCTCTCAAATAGTTTTTCAATTAATTGTCCGAAACTTGTTAACATATTTTCTGACCGTCAATTGGATATTCAGGCAAGAGCAGTTTGCCGAGGTTAAATTACCTGGGAATACCTGTGAATAAAGGTGTTGTATCCTTTTTTTCTTGAGAGTTGTTCAATATTTTTGACAATTTCTGAGACTTTCCTTAGTTTACTGACCAAAACTGGTATGAAATTAACGATGCCTTTTTGTGAAATTTGTGACTGAGGCTGTCAACTGATTTTTGTATAGACCTTAAGTGTTGCAAAAATTACAATTCTTGATTCATAATGAATTTATACTTGCTAAATTAATTTTTCAACTTCAAGTTTTCATATTTTCTGACGATGAATTGAAAAACCTATAAGTGAAAACGCTGAACAATTTGTCATCCAGATTTGCTCTATATTTTCGACAATTTTAGCAAAAATGTATTAACAAATACCGAACTGCAATTTAAATTCTGAAAGTGGGAAGTCCAATAAAAAACTGACAAAATCAAAAGTAAATTTTTCTTGAATTTCTGAAAAAGGGTTTATATTTTAGCATTGCTTTTGCTTTTGAATAATATAATCCAAAAGCTGAGTGAATCGCATGAACCCGAAAAGGAGCGATACCGGTTGCTTCGACAGGGTAAGCTCATCATTCTTTACATATATAACTCGCACTGCGAATCTAAACTTAATCATTACAACATTCAATCTTACAATATGTCTTATATTTGGTACTTTTTTTCTCTTTTTTTTATGTGCCGCGTACACAAAAATAACTCAAACAGAGTTATGAAGAATCATGACTAAATCATCACTTAAATTGATTTTTCGCGTAAATCACGAATTGCTTGAAAATACAATATGTCTGTGTTTTAATTTGCAATCTTAGATCTTAAGATCCAATAATTTAATCTGCAATTTTTACTGAATATGAACTATTCCCGATTGTAACATTTTGACTGAGTGCGAATTCGCATTGCATAGTTTGATATTTAAACCTATGTGAAGAAACTATTTTGTTTTTAATATGAACTACTTTCTGGATGTTCTTTTTGGACGAGTTGGTGGTGCCTTACATAGTCTATCCGAATTATTTGTCCTATATATATGTTATTTTCTGCCAATTTATCTAACATATATCTCGATGTGACCCATGGTTGTCTAAATGTTTGTATTGTTTTTTGCACGCTTCAGTGTGATTGTCGGGCTAAACTTTGACAGTATATGTATGATATCTTTGCAAGATTTGTTTTATTGATATTACTCCATGGCTTTGTTCTTCAATTCTCATTTGTGGCGTGATCGTCAGTTTACAAAGAATCAGCTCAAACCAGCGCCAGGGCTCGAATTAAAATTGCAGTAAGATGAGAGATTTTTTTTTCTTTTTTGCTCCGTGTTAAAGTCGTCACTGTGGCTTTGAGCTGATAAACAGCAATAAAACTTAAAAGCGCATGTCCTTTGCTTTTTGTAATTTTACTATGCATATACTTATTTTGTGTCATGGATAAATACCTCCATATCCTTTTTTTTTTTTTTTCTATTATAGGAAAAGACA